AACGGCTTGCACAGAACTAGTGAGTTATTTAAAGAATTCCAAGACCCCCATTTCAGAACACACCTCTAACCAACGACGATTAGAAAATACTCTTTACGCTGAGATCGATTTCGGGAGTTCTACTCACCCGAATTCAATTTCGTAAAGTCGTACGGGTTCTTTAATGAGTTATCTAACCACTCATATAACCAGAATTATAAATAAATCACCCGATTGTTACTAGATTTCCTTACACCTGAAAGACTCCAATTTTGTCCAAATCTGGACTAGGTTGGGAAAATTCAAATACTACGAAAAAAAATTCCGGTCCGAATTTTTCCCCCGTTGGAATTTCTATAACGACGGGAACAGGTTGTTACAATCTGCCTTTTGTGTTCCTTATTGGTGGCACAGTCTTGATGTGGTTGATTCCTTGGTGGCTCGAGAATGTTTGTGAAACCATTAGAACCTCTTATTTCAATGGTTGTCTTGTCATAAGCCAAAGCAACTTCTATAGCAATATCAAAAGTTCCTAACCAACATCGAACATTCTTTCTTTCATCTTGAATCTCTGCTCCCCACCATCCCGATTCTCGCCGACTAACTCCCTTGTACTTCTTTACATTTTCAGGGAGTAGTTTTGTATCTTTCTTATCTTTGGACGACATTCTTTTTGAAAAGACCTTGGTCTTTCCCTTTTCAATGATGATTTCGTGAAATATTCTTTTATGTCGCTTGGACTTCTCTCCTTGAAGATTTTCCTCATCATCACTAGATGAGTCTGTGGCATCACTATCCAGCATGTAAATACGTACAAGATTTTTTTACCCTAACAATTTTTGAAGATTTTTCGATTGCCTCATTTTTTTAAGCTCATCCTTGGAGGTCATTGCTTCAGGAAAAGAGAACAAAAATAAAAGAACGAAAATTCCATCAGACCAGACATGCATACACTTCATTTATGTTCCTTTATTTGTTCTAATTTTGATTTGGCACAAAATTTAAGAAAATAAAGAAGAATTTTGAATCTTGTAGTCTTTAAACCTAAGGTATGTAGAATATAACGAAATGTCATTTAATTTAGTGAGTTCTTAACGTGGAAAGTTATAATTAAAGAGTTGTCAAAAAGGCAATAAACATCTCTTTTTAAACAGATTAAAAAAAACAGTAACAGTAAGACAAATAAATTGAAATAGAAGCTAAAAAATCATGTCCCTAAATTTTTTATCCCTAGTCACAAATGAAGACTACAAAATTTATTTAAAATGAGTCTTTTTTAGCCCTTAAAAAACTTTTTTTAGTTTTATGACTTTATAAGAGATCTTCGTCTCTATACATAAGAGATCTTCACTTTTACATATAAGAGATTTTAAATGGTCATTTTATTTTATTCAATTTGTAATAGGGTGAGAGATCTCACTTCTTCGAATGTTTACACCCACTCACTTATATTATATATTCTTAAAAAGAACTAGAAAACCATTTCTCCTAAACTCGCTTAAAATTCTAGAATTTTCTTTTGTTAAGTTATTTCTCTAGATTTTCAAATAGAAAATTTTCCACACAATTAGGATGTCATAAATCCATCAATAAATTTCATATAGTTCAAAAGATAAATTGTTTAAAAAAAAAAAAATCAAACCTAAAACAATAGAATCTATGCATATATAAGTTTTAAAATATGCTTGTAGAAGCACACAAAGAAACGAAGAAATTACATTTTTTGTCTTCTTACAATTTGAATTTAAAAAATTATGCATATTTAGCTTGTCCGAACTCATTTCCGTAAAGCCCTATAGACTACTTAATTTATTAGCAACAACGAAATTATACTATACTTAAATGTTTCCCGCAGTTCTTTTCCTAGATCGCCCCACACCCTACCTCACTCAGAATTCGCCCAAGCGTAGCCTAGCCTGAAATTTACAACTCTTCAAACCAACACTTTTCTCCCTTAATTTCTTTCACTAAAGGCTCCCTCATAACGATCAAGAGGGTCGCTACACATACACTTCATTTATGTGACACATTCAAAATTTTGAAAGTCAAAACAAGTTCTAGGCACAATTTTTACATACATGTGTTTAAATTTTTACATCTAAAAAATTTAAAAAAATTATTTTCTTCTATTCAAATTATGAAAAGCAAGAGATCTCATATCCAACTTAAAATTCTAGCTTCTCTTTTGTTAGGTCATTTCTCTAGAATTTCAAATTTTAAATAGAAAACTTCCACATATTAAGGATGTCATAAATCCATTAATGAATTTCATATAGCTCAAAAAATAAAATGCTCAGAGACGAGAAGACCTAAAGCAATAGAATATACACATACAAAAGTCTTAAAATATGCTCGTAGGAGCACACATAGAAACAAGTAAATGTGATCTCTTCTATTTTTATAATTTGAATAAAACAATTCAAACGTTTTTTATGTAAAAAATAAACTTATTTTTCTGCCATAAAAACTCACATGTCAAACACAAATAATTACTTCAAAAATATAACTGATATCCCCAACAAAATAAAAAGGCTAAGAATTGAGCATAGCTTGAAAAGATAGAATGTAATTAGCACCAAAAATATTGAAATTTTTGTACTTTATATTAATTTTTAGTGCTCAATTTTTAATAATCATAAAAAGATAAGTCTCGCACTATATTAGTATATTTTTTATATTTTATTAAGTTAAAATATATTTTTTAGTATGCAGTAGTCATTATTTTTATGTAGATTAAAATTTAAAGAAATCATTTAATAAAGCAATAATAAAAATTTAATTATTTTGATGATCTTATTAACTTAGGAGTTATAATTTCACCTGATTAGTTAATAGTGATAATTAATCCTTGATACTTTTGATCATTGAGTTACCTAATAAATCAAAATAATAATAAAGTAATAAACTAATAATTATCAACTAACACGTATTAAGTATTAATTAATAATAATAACTTATAAGTAGTAACTGGAAAGTAAAATTGTAATAATAATATTAACTAAAAAGTAAAATTAAAATAACAATAATCTTGCTAGCATTTTCAGAGAAATAATAAATTAATAACTAATAATAATAATTTATATGAGTAATATTATAATAATAATAATAATAATAATAATCTTATTAGCACTTTAAGAAAATAATAAATTAATAATTAATAAAAATAAGTAATGGAATAACTAATAAGCGATATCGTAGAGATATGAGAATTAATGAGTTTTGCGAAAGTTGAAATTAAATATTAAATTCCTGAAAGTTAAAAGAGTAGAGAAATTGAGAGAATATGGAAAAATATTTATAGATTAATGGAGAGTTTTTTTTTTTTTTGAAGAAACTTTAATAAAATACGAGATTAGATTTCTAATTTTTGTAAGCTTTAGTCGCCCCACATAGGTCAAAAAATTGACAAAGAGATTCTCTAAAAGTTTGTGCCTCCAACGAATATTTCTTTATCTTGGACTAGTTTAATTTGGGCTTCTACTGATTTGGGCCGATTTCAGATCGACTCGATCCCATACGATTGACACCCTTAGTTTCAATTATATAAAAAGACCATCAAAATGTAAAATAATTAACAACAACGCAAAAAATTAAAACTTCTTATTTGTGTGAGAGTTCTTGAGTTTCTCTTTCAGGTATATTTAATTTTCATCTTCTTTATGAAATGTAACATGTGAGTTTCTTTCTTTCATTTGAAATTATTTTTTAATCTTTTACAAAAAAAAATAATTAATTTTATGTCCTTTTATAAGATATATTCATTTTTTTTTACACATATGAGATCTGAAAAGAATATTTTATTTTATTCAAATCATAAGAAGACAAGATATCACTTTTTTTTTCCATATATGCTTCTACAAACGCATTTAAAACTTATATATGCTTTAGATCTGTTTGTGTTTGAGCATTTTATCTTTTGAACTATATGAAACTCATGCTGGACTGTATGATTTTTTTCTATTTGAAACTGTGAAGAAATAACATAACAAAAGTATCATGTTGGGAGCGCCACTCCCGAATGGGCCATGCAGAGCGCGATTCGAATTTAGTCGGAGCTCCAATGTGGGTTCTGGACAACGAGTGGGAATCCAAAAAAAAAACATAACAAAAGTGAATCTAGGATTTTAAGTGAGCTTGAGAGAGATAATTTCTAGACCTTTCCAAAATTATTTTTACTTTTATAGAATTTTTATAAATAAGAGATTTTATAGTTTTAAAAGATCTTCATTTTTATACATATGAAAATTTAAAAATGACATTTTTTTGTATTTAAATTGTTAAAAGGACAAGCTATCTTATTTCATGTAAATTCTGAAGTCTTTCATTTGTGAAAGTGGATATAAATTTCGGGAGAAATTATTTTCCAACCTTATACAAATTTCTTTTAGTTTAATAACTTTTTTTATAAGAGATCTACATTCTTTACACCTAAGAAATGTGAAAAGACAATTTTTTTTTTTAAAATGATAAAAAGGTAAGATAACTCATTTCCTTTCGAGGGAATTTAGTACAATTGTCACAAAGGTATGTCCATCCTTGAAATAGTGTCTCGATTACAATTTATATGGATATTTAACATTTCAAGAGTCAAAATTTTCAAATTGTGTTGGTAAATTCAGGTATGAAATCTATAAGGTTTTCAAAATAAAATTATATATATTCAAAAATTATGTAAAAATTACTATAAGTCAAGTAATTGACAATTCAAAATATTTGAAAGTTGTATGACAAAAGTCACAGTCAAAACTTGTTTGACTCTCAAAACTCAAAGAGCCACTTAAATTGAGACTAAGAAAATATTTTTTTCATTTCCTTTTTATCCTTATGATATGGAATTTCGGAGTTGACAGTTTGAATTTAATTTGTTTATTTTCTTAAACTTTGTGCTAGGTCAAAATCAAACAATCAAGTTGACAGAGAGAGTACATAAATAAAAATAATTTGATTATTAATGAATTGTATATACATGCCTGATTGAATGGACTTTTTCTGATTTTTTATTTGTTCTCTTTCATGAAGCAATGGCTTCCAAAGATGAACTTCACGAAAATGAGGTAGTCAAAAAACACTCAAAAATTGTCAGAGGAAAAAAAAGCAACTTAATGGGTGAACGTTCTATTGTCTTGCCACGTGTTGTACGTATTTACATAACAGACAATGACGCCACAAACTCGTCTAGTGATGAGGAGGAAAATCTTCAAGGAGAGAAGTCCAAACGACATAAAAGGATTTGTAAAGAAATTATCATCAGAAATGGAAAAATCAAGGTCACTTCAAGGATGATATCGTCCAAAGAAAAAAAATATACAAAACTTCTCCAAGAAAATGTAAAGAAGTACAGGGGAGTTAGACAACGAAAATGGGGAAGATGGGGTGCGGAGATTCGAGATGTAAGAACGAATAAACGACGTTGGTTGGAAAGTTTTGACACTGCGCTAGAAGTTGCTTTGGCTTAAGACAGGGCAACCATTGAAATAAAAGGTGCTAATGTTGTGACAAACATTATCGAGCCACCACCGAAGGAAAGCAACCCATCCATCAATAAGGAAGACAAAAGGCATGCAGATCCATGTATGTTTAGTTACTTTATTGGTTCAACTTTCCATAGGTTTATCCATTTCACCTTTGAAATTTTAAGTTCAAAAGTTGAACGTTTAGTAGTTGAAAGACATGAATGTATATAAGAAGGTTTCGTTAGGGGGTAGAGTCCGGGGGCTAGCCTCATATCTTCTTCCCCTTATTGGTAGAAGTATTTAGTAATAACATATAATTTTTACTATTTGTTGCTTCATCTTGCTTTGTATCTTAATATTTTACTGCCATATTTTTTTCTTATGGAAATTTTGTTTTCCTAATAACTTCTCTTTTGAGTTGTTGGTCATTGTAATTAATCTTTCTTCACAAAATGAAAGAAAGGTTGGTGTATATTTTATTACCTTCTCCATACTCCATACTCTATTTGTGGAATTACACTATATATATTATTGTTGTTGTTGAACTAATTAATTGGAGGAACATGAATAGCCATGATTTATGTATTGATGAAGCGGAGTTGTTTCTGTTGTATTCCTTGTAAATATTTGCTAAAAGAACATTATCTTAAAAATGCTACTTTTCTAGATAAACCTTGGGTTAAAAAAAGTTTAGACAATATATTTTTGATGTAACAGAAATGTTCAATATAGCTTAACATATATCGTAAAATAAGTAATTGGAAGATTTTTTTAAAAAAATAGATCACTTGAAAATTTTCTGAAAAGCTAAATAATTTACATGAAGCTACCATTTCTTTGGTTCCTTAACATATCGAGAGGTGCTTGACATAGAAATTTGATCAGAGTTATTTATTACGTTGTTTTATATCACATAGATTTTTACTCATTTTCTTCATTAAATAGATTAGTCGTATGTTTAGGTCAATTTTGTACAGTTCTCACTAAATGTAAATTCATTCTTAATATGGATTAAGGCGATACTATTTTTCTTTTTAAATTAATAATAATCATGCTTTAGTTTCAAACATGATTGAGTAAATAGAGATGTCATGATAAGACAAATATATATATAAAATCACACGATACACATTTTTAGGCTTGATTTTGGCGTGACAAAAGAAACAAATTCATGAGGTTGAATAGACAAAAGCATACTCTTATATTCACAATTCTTTGATAGATTTATGACTTCTCTTCTATTTAAAATATTAAAGGAGAGCCAGATAAAAGTGAATTTGGAATTTTATGTGAGATTATGCTTGTGTTTTGTGACAAGTGATACAAAATAAACATACATACGTATCTTTAAATAAAAATCAAGTATGCACAAATTTTCAGAGTTGAATAACGATAGCTACTTATGGATAAATACATGTTATATAAACAAATAAATATACGATATGTGATTCTTAAAGTCGAGATTTTTTAATCTGTTAGATCAATTTTCAATTCCCTCTAGAAATTTAAGAAGGATTAGGTTATATAAAATTAACTCGTATTAATAAAATGATTGATGAATATTTTTATGCACATAATAAAGAAAGAATTTTTTATCACAAATGATTTAACACACTAGTGACGTTCTTTGTTGATTTCTCTTTTCGTACAGCCATGGCATCCAAGAATCAATGACTAACAGCTCAAAAGAGAAGTTATTAGGAAAACAAAATTTCCATAAAAAAATGGCAGTAAAATATTAAGATACAAAGCAAAATGAAGCAACAAATAGTAAAAATTATATGTGATTACTAAATACTTCTACCAAGAAGGGGAAGAAGATATGGGGCTAGCACCGGACTCTCCCCCCTAAGGAAATCTTCTTATTTACATTCATGTCTTTCAACTGCTAAAACGTTCAAATTTTGAACTCATAATTTCAAAGGTGAAATGGATAAACCTATCGAAAGTTGAACCAATAAATTAACTAAACATACAAGGATCTGCATGCCTTCTGTCTTCCTTATTGGTGGATGGGGTTGCTTTCCTTTGGTGGTGGCTCGATAATGTTTGTCACAGCATTAGCACCTTTTATTTCAATGGCTGCCTTGTCATAAGCCAAAGCAGCTTCTAGCGCAGTGTCAAAACTTCCCAACCAACGTCGTTTATTCGTTCTTACATCTCGAATCTCTGCAACCCATCTTCCCCATTTTCGTTGTCTAACTCCCCTGTACTTCTTTACATTTTCTTGGAGAAGTTTTGTATCTTTTTTCTCTTTGGACGATACCATCTTTGTAGTGACCTTGGTTTTTCCATTTCTGATGATAATTTCTTTACAAATCCTTTTATGTCGTTTGAACTTCTCTCCTTGAAGATTTTCATCCTCATCACTGGACGAGTCTGTGGCATCATTGTCCGTTATGTAAATACGTACAACACGTGGCAAGACAACAGAACGTTCACCCATTAAGTTGCTTTTTTTCCCTCTGACAATTTTTGAGGGTTTTTTTACTACCTCATTTTC